TAATCATAAAAAAATAACAATAAAAATATATGATTAAAAAAATCTTGAAAATTTTCGCCCATATTTGAGCATACAAGCATACATGTATGCTACGCCAATGATCACAAAGCTTCTAACCTTGCTTTTCATCTCAATCCTTGTCTTCTGTCCCTCCTACCACATAGCGTCTAAACTAGATTACTGCTATATACTAATGATATCTTAAGTTTCATATTAATAAGGTATGCATATGTTGGCAACAGACCCTTGAGCGTAATCATTCCATTGCTTCTCGGCAAACACCTTTGTTTAAGCTACATTATTTGTAAATCACCTCATCTTTTGGGTAAAACCAACAGCATCAGGTCGACTGTGCGGCTGTTTGCAGATAAGGTTAGAGTACAGGGGATAAAATGGCAGATGAAATTCAACACTGGCAAGTACCAAGTCATCTCCATCACAAGAGGCAGGTAACCTTCACATCATCAGTACTTCCTGCATGGAAACGAACTATAGCATGTCATGAAAACTAAGTTCCTGGGTATAAACATCAGCTCAGACTTGCGACGGAATGGCCACATCGACTTGATCACAGTGAAAGCCCAAAACACATTGGAATTTCTTAAGTGGAATCTTCAACTTAACAGTGTCTTAAAACACCAGGATACTGGAGGGTCTCTTCCTAGAGTGACGTGGGACCAGTGCACAAGGAGTGGTACCTAACCCCACCTGTCTGGCGCAGCAACAGGACGACTAACTATATTGAGCTTCCCATCTTCGTCAACCAATAACCATCTGATCATGACAATCATTGGTGTTGCAGCGGGAAACCTGGCTTAAAAAAATACAAAGTTTTGAAAAAACTCAAATGCATGAGGACGATAATCTTATTAGTGAAGTGTTCAACACATAATGTTACGGGTAAAGTTTAAGTTTCCCCCCGAAATGCAATATATATAGCAGCAATATCGACCGATATGGTGTCAGTGTAGGGAACTGAAGCATTTCAAAGAAGGATTGGGCGTTTTAATAAACACAACATCTATGCGCTAAAATAATATATGTAAATTAAAGTTTTATCGAGGTGCGAATGAAAATCAACATCGATAAAGGAAAAAAATTAGATGTATAATTTAAGAACAAACAAAAAACACCCCGCATTTTTAACCTTTTACCAAAAATATGGGAAGATCCAGAAAAACCCCATCTACTTATTATTGGAGATTTTAATTTGGGGCCGCGGTGGCCAAGTTATTAAGTCGTCTGGCATTCTGCTACCACTAGCCCTTCACTACTGGGCCGCGTGTTACGTCGCGGGTTTGAGGCCTACGTGGGGCAATCGCCAGGTAATGGCCGTATATCGGACGTTTTTCTCAGGGAACTCCGGCTTTCCTCCACCTCCAAACCCTGGCACGTCCTTGACGGACCATAGCTGTTAATAGGGCGTAAAACACAAACAAACCAAACCAAAGATTTCAATTTGAAAATAATGACCAGGTGGAAATAGATCACAAAAATGAGAATTTGTCCTCGACGCAGTGAGTGACTCTCATCTATTCTAACATTTAACCAACAGGAGCATGGGGCAACAATGAGCCAGGCATAGTCGGCCTAGTATTACCACTAAGCATAATATGATAAGCAAACTAAAGATAAGTTAAAACGGGAAAGGAATGAAAGAGTGACCATAGCGCAATGCTATCTTACTTACGCTGTACATGAACAATTCAAAACAGATCCACCATTATAATTCAACTACAATGAAGGAAGCTATGAATTAGTAGGACTGATTGAAGAATCAAGAATCGTCAAGAAACTTAGTACTGACAAAGGGACTTGATACACAGATTAACTATACAATACTTATTTTTCGTATGCAAACTGTTGTATGCCACCATATACCAAACAAGAGGGTGCCATCAGATATGAAAAGAAATCTGGATGAAATAAATAAATTGATTGGACGCATGATCTTTGAGGTTCCATCACGTAGGCTAAAGGAAGGCAATAACCCAAGTAAAGCATCTTTATACACAGATACACGTCAGGGAAAGGTTCAAATGATTTATGAAACCAAAGAGAAAGAAAACGATATCAATATAATAACTAAAAAAAAGATTGACTTTAGAGACCATGTAAACAAAGCAGAAAACAACGCCAATATGATAATGGGAAGACACAATTTGTAAACCTAACACATACCTTAAAAAAAAGGGGGGGGGGGGGGGGGGAGGGGGATCTATAGCAAATATTAGTCAGGAAAACGTATGTACACAACAAGTGTGTGGAACCCCCATATGTATCAAATACACAGAGTATAGCACCGTTTTATGAGTAAACACGATGGGCACTAACGCCGACCAACACGGATTTACAGAAGACTCCGGGGAGACATGTTCAAGTATACAAGCTACCAGACTACGATGGGCTGGATACATGCTTGATACGCTTATAGACACGTCGTTTGAGGTGAGTTTGCTAGTTGCACAAGGTATAACACCAGCTGAGTAACACAGCGGACAGTACCTCATGCGAAATTAATATAGTTTCGTTATCTACATTATTTCAAAGCATAATATCGATAATACGGCCGGAATCCTTCCAGGCATAAACAACTGACATTAAACAGTTGAAAATTAACAGCAGTTATACAAAAATGACAATTGAAAATTGGCAAAAGCACAGCACCAATAGGCAATGGCAACAGATGTTTGGAAGTAAATAACTGACAATCTATAAAACACTTCACCGTTTACCGTTCCGTAAAGGAAGCAATTTAATTTGTAAAATTTCATTTTATGCTCACGGCAATAAGCATTCGGCAATTTGTGTTTAAGGGCGACAAAGTCCAGCAATGACGGGACAACATTAATCCTTCGACCTCTTATATGGTAATTTACCTTAATGAGAAGAACATCTATTTGAGATTATGCTTAAAGAATTTTCTCAAGAGGTGAGAATTACAAACTAACAGACACACTATCTACATTATATTAATATGAGAATAGCAACAGCATGAAACTGTCCAAAAATGTGGTCTTTATCAAATACGAATGAGAAAGTCCCTTGTTTCACATACCATCCAAACATGTTATGGGTATACTCGGGGCATGATTCAGTCATCAATTTATTCCCAGAACTAGCAATGATTCCCTTTCACAGATCAAAGAACGCCAAACACGTATAGTCGTTAGTGGTTAACTCCTCGCCATCTGCTGCACGTGGCTGTTTTTCAACTAGTATGGACAAGATGCTGTGTTCGGACTTCCTATTCCAAGAAAGCACGGGATTTCATGTGAACTTACAGGACAGATACATTGAATTTTTCCCACAGAAAATAAACATATTTGCATTAATGCATGTGGTGTGCGTGTCAAAGACCAAACTCCCATCAATGTCAAATGCTGATCGGTGGAAAAGACGCAACCCGAATGCGCGGTTTGCAAGGCAGTTCTTTATGCCAAACCTATACACGATACACATGGGTATTGTGGTCTCCGATCACCAAGGTATGCGGAAATCACTTCAGAAACCAAACCAGCTAAATATACTGGATCAAACAAACGTAGACCTGTTACCCATTTGGTTTAATGGACGCTTTTTTAACGGCCCGTTGAAACTAACCTTTCCCCCCCCCCCCCCCCCCCAAAAGAGACAGGCGCTACTTATCATACGAAGTAAGTTATATGTCACTAATGGGTATTCGCAGAATTAATCATTTTTGCTCCGTGTTAAATAATTAGCAGTAATTTTGGACAACAGAACATTCTGAATTTTCGGCAGAGCCAGTTCCTGAAAATAAATTTCTTCAGCTTTCACTGTGGTACTTCCATTTCTGAAAAGGAAAGTTTAACGTCAGGTCCTATCCTGATGAGCTTGACGAAATTACATTTCATTTTTCTGTGTGGTTTTCTTTTGGTTTATGATACATTTTAAACAAACTGTTTTATCAAATGCTAAAATAACCTGTTTTTACCATTTTTACCAAGCGACAAACGTCAGTATGAAAATGTTTAAGCCTTCCCGTCATATTTGAATTTGACATCTGGTCATGGCTGATCCCGGATTACTCTGAACAGTTTGACGGAAAGGCCCGAACATTTCCGATTTGAAAACAGTCACGTGTAGTAGTTCTTTTTCTTTGTTTTGTTGATATGTTTATCTACGGCCTGTAAAACAAAAATGTAGATATTCTGAAAAAAGTAGCGGAAATATTACCGTCTTGCGTCCGCAATATGCGTTCTGAGCGATAATGAACGTCTGCTTACTAGAAATATTTGATGGAAAAAACTTGGTAACGTCTCTACTAACAAGAAGACAAACACATCAGTAAACATTTCATTATTTTATTGTCATAATCAAATCTAAAAGAGTACCTGATGGGTGTGTAGCACTGATACTGTACTACGTATAAATACGAATTTGACTTGCTCTAGAAAACTTACCTCTATTATACTTTGTACTGCAGTTTTAATTGGTTCGTTTTGCTTAACGTCTATATACAGAGCATAAAACATTAATTTTCTGACAGTTCCAGAGAACAGAAAATTTAGGACAAGCTGTACTAAACTTAACCTCAGCCTGTCTCAGTTGTATACATGAATGCCTTGGGTGTAAATAGTTAGATCATACTTAACTTAATCGTAATCAAGTGTTGTAGACATGTACACTGAAGCATGATCAGTGGTTAAAGCATAAAATATAATCTAACAATGGACGGAAGGTGGGAAAATCTGACAACATAGAAATCCTGGAAATATATAAACAAAATGATGTACATGGACATAAACTGCAAAAAATAGGAACGTTTTGCAAATACTTCATGAAGATTATTGTAATGAAACTCAGAACTACACAGAAAAAGAACTACTCCAGGAAAATAAAAATAGAATATATGTGTTATTTTCGTCAGAGTGACAAATTAAAGTAATTTGGAAGAAATGGTATCAAAGTTTTACTTTCTGCACAAACAATGTACGTATTAAACGTGTTGCATCGTTTCAAGACCGACTGGTCCCTTTGTCAAGCTATGATTGAGTGATTTTATTTCTACCTGTACATGTACATTGATGTGACGAAATTGTATATTTTTCATGTCACGCGACCCCAGACGTTTTGCCTATCTATAGGGAGCGTATACACACTGCATCAGATAGGTTACAGGTAGGGTGTAGATCTAGCCCCCAACCCTGTTATGTCTCAGGAAAGAAATGGTTTCACTAAAGTAACAATAAATCTGTTTGATTTATATACAATATATATATATATATCGGCTATCTTGGACTTTCTATGGCCCCTTCCAGATAATATGTAAGTAAGAGTTGATTTTGAATTATTTTGAAAATATCTAAATAAGGGATAAACAGCTGTCACTGTTTCTTTCAAAACATTGTTGGAAGAACATTTACAAAATACACATTCAATGATATTCATCATGTACATTTCATGAATTTTCAAACTGGTAAAATTGAAATAAACCTTGTGAAAAATCGTATACAATGTGTAACTTTACAGCAATCAAAAACAGGTTTTCTCTCACTTTGAAATACAGCATACAAAATATGTTTTCTTTCACTTCAAAGTTACATCTTTATCAGAGAAATATCATGCATCTAAAAAGACAATCATACACTAACATTCTCCCAAACTGTCAGACAAAACACACTTCACCATGCAGTGTACCAATAGCATGAAGAACCAAAAAAACCTGGAAAATCAACCATTAAACATGATCAGGGTACCTCCCACTATATATATACATACTTAGTAATGACAAAAGTACTGACTTATCTACATAGAACCTACAAAAACACCATGATCATCTAAGATGTCAGCTTGTGACTGCTCAAGATGATGATATGTTATATTTAAATTAATGTAATATCACAGTTTTTCCTAGGATACTGCAGGCCAGCAGTATCTTTCGTTACTAATATTTGACACTTCTGTTTGCTAAACGTGGTGAAATGTCTGAGGAGTCTATAGGCCAGCAGCTTCTTTAGTTACCAATCTGACACTTCTGTTAACTAAACGCGGTGAAATGTCTGAGAGGAGTCTATAGGCCAGCAGCTTCTTTAGTTACCAATCTGACACTTCTGTTAACTAAACGTGGTGAAATGTCTGAGGAGTCTATAGGCCAGCAGCTTCTTTAGTTACCAATCTGACACTTCTGTTAACTAAACGTGGTGAAATGTCTGAGGAGCCTGTATATGCTATACACCGACATGGTACTTTGCAATACGTAAGTCTTTGATGACGCGGTCAGCATCTAGCTGCCTGAAGTAGGCATCGTCGTCATCACGACACAGCTGATCCTGTAACTCCCTGATCTCCTGCTCCATCTTCCTCCTCAGCTCCTTCTTCATCTGCTCCAGCACCTGTAACAGACATGTACACTCTGACAATACTGGAACAGCCGTGCAGAACTTCACTAGCACCATTAGGATGAAAGATAGCTTTGAGAAAATAGGAAAACATTAGATGAAGATCTCTTGAAAAATTTCTATTTTTAATCTCTTTTTGAAGTATTAAACTTTACTAAAGTGTAATGATTGTACCATTGATTTTATAAATAATTCCAACAAAGTATTGATATAAACAGAGTACCTGCATGGTAAAAATAATAAGAACTGTATAATGACAGGCTCAAATTTTCGCAATTTTGACCAAAAATTAGAAAATTAAACTTACATTGATTATAATTTTGTGATATAGACATGTGAAGGGACTATTTTTTTGCTGTTTTTTAGCACAGAGACAGGACATTCCACATAGAAAGCGTTAAACAGTCACATGAATAGACTTTATGACAGCCTATTGAGCAACAACAAGCCATTGTATTTTGTAAACAAATCATCAACATAACAATTAGATGTGTGATATAACCTATTCCAAACATCATTACTATTAATGTATTTGATTCATCAAAACAAAATGCGTATTATTTCATGACAACATTATGGTTATGAAGTTTATTATCGTGGCTCATTTTTATGCTTGTCTTATTATACTGAGGATCATATTTTCGTGATCACTTTATTAACCAGCCAAATCGTGAAAATATCATCCCCTCTGATATATCCTGCTATACATTAAACATTGAACAGCCATCTATCAATAAATCGATCAATGTCACATTTGTGAATGTGCTCACTGTTCTAATTTTCTTGACACTTACCTTCTGTTGAGCCTTTTCTCTTGTCTGTGTTTCTTTACGTTCCTTGGTAACAGATTCGGCAAGCATGTCAAACTGATCCCGGTAGCTAGTCAGGGGTTAAGGACAAACAGTGCCAGCTCCATTAGTGATTGTAAATAAATATTTCACTTTCACAATCATAGCTTCATGTACACTTTCAAAAATAAATTGTAAGATATCCCTAAAAATGTTTCCTGTCAAATTCTGATGAGATGTGTAACAGCTAAGGTATATGAGGGGAACATACTGCCTTACTGGCAAGCTAGCTTTTGCAGTGATGCATTATAACCCAGGAACCTACTCACTAGCTCAGCAACATCGAGCGTGGCCAGTAGTTACAGAAGCTACTGCACGGGCTGAAACATGTTTTTGGAATTTTGTTTATGCCCACTTACATTTTCCATCCGATGCAAGACAGGTTTGACAGAACAAATAGTACTTTAAAACCTTATTATACTGCCATCATTTGTATAACACTGTAACAGGAAAGAGAATAGTGTGCTTCCACCGGGGATCGAACCCTCAATCTCCAGGTTCCTAGTCAGACGCTCTACCACTGAGCTAAAGGGAAATTCCACCTAGCTAGAAGGCTACTGTACCCCAATGTACAATTGAACCCTGCCACAACACAATACTAATAAGGTATTAGTGTTGTTTGGAATAATAACTTGTAAAGTGGGTTGTTGGTATGGGGGCATGGAGAATACTACATAACGTGTATGAAGTTTTTGCATAAAACATTTTCTGTAATTAAATATGCTCTTGATGCATGCCAAAACCATTTTGATGTCTGACCTGGAGATCTGTGATATTGATATTTAGGTGAACGTCAGGACATACTTATTGACCATTGCATACACCGCATGAGATGGTACCTTAAAATATCTATTATACTAGGACATTATACTCCAAGCACTTTTATCTCAATATCTGTCCCTTTAAGAGTGGGTCTGAATACTAGTGTATGGTCCACCATCTAATGATGATATACAAGCCTATTTCCTATCACCTAATGACAGCACAAATCTTAATTAAGCATTATCTTGAGTAGTGAAGAAATGGTTATTCTGAAAACATTTTTTTTTATTTGAAATTTGACCTCAAATTGTGACAATAAGGGTCCTACAAATATTCCATACCATCCTAAAAACATCTTCAACACATATTTAAACAAGAGCAGTTTTTCAAGGATACTAGTTTTCGAGGGACTCGACTTCGTTCCTCTGTACTTTGGACTGGCTGTCTCTCTGTTCTTTAGCATACTTCCTTAGCTCTTTCACCCGGTCCTTCTGGATATCAAGACCATCTTTGAACAGTTTCTTAAACACCATCTCCTCTTTCGTGCGTCTTTTCAGCATCTTGGAGCGCATGCGTACCTGGTACTCATCGTAATACTGACGAGTCTTTGCAGACTGTGTGCGCTTCTCGTGTATTCTATTTTTAGCTGCCACTCCCTGGGTCTGTCTTTCCTTGATCTCTTTCTGTAAAAACAAATTAGCCTTGTATAACCACCTTATCCAAGGTCTCTAATTTTCTTCTATGATGGAGAAGTGAGATAGTAACTCTACATGATTCAATTTGCAAATTTCACTTTTACAACTTCTTTCAATATCACTCAAAGATGGAATCTTACTTTGTTGAGGTATATGGGCTTAATATCACAATGAGTCTGGAGACAAATGTAAGCAGTTAATTTTTAGACCTCTCCAACACCCTTTCAAGAAAATTGCCTATATCCTTGATCAAAACAAGATTTATACTTTATAGTTATGTATATTTCTTCTCTGTACAAGTTTTGACTGAAGCAAGTCAAATTCACCAGAAGTTGAAATGTAACATAATCATAAAGTAGCTTTCTGCACAAAACAAATGCTATAACTGTCTGACAGTATATTCACCATTAAACTGAACAACTCAGATTTGTAATTGAGATTATTTATCACACAAAACATTGCCAAAATCAGCAGCATTGAGGCAGTTCTGGCTACAAAATACATGTGTAATTCAACGTCAACTGGAGACAACACTTAGGAAATATAACACTAAAGTGCTATCAAAGGTTACCGAGTTAAATTATTTACGTGTAAATATTGCTGAATAATATCTCGACATGAGACAATATTTAATGATGAAATTTACCATTCTTTGTTGATGTTCAAGCTCTTTCTTCATAATGTTCACCATGATCTGCTGTCTCTTTTCAGCCTCCTCAAGCTGTAACCAAGGATCACATTGAAATGAACAGGAAACAAATGTACAGGAAACAAACTATTTTCAATCTGACATGATTATTTACAAAATAAGCTTTTCAAAGTTTGTATTCACCTAATTTATTTTCTAGTTATTTCATCAAGCTTAAATATACATTTTGAATGCTATATTGCTGATAACGAATAATACATGCTAATCCTCTAAATATGTGACTTTATCATTTGGTTCACATTTAACTTTCTTCATCTCTACCCTTCTCCCTTGTCTCAGAAGGTAGTATCTAGTTAGTACTGGTATCCTGAAGGAAGAGACATAAAGTGTTATGTACCTCTGCCTTTGCATGGGACTTTTTGCGTCTGACCTCCTGGTTTGCACGCGTGACCTGCTCAATTTGGTTGATACCTTTGCGCCACAGTTCGTGCCACGTGTGTAGTGACAAGTGAAGGTGAGGGAACTCCTTTAACAGTAGTGGTAAGATATCGTCATCGTCCTTGATTGTCACTGAAAACAAACAGAGCCATAAAGTCTTGTGTTTTAACAAAGTTTAACGATGACACGACATTTCCAAGCCACAGAAAATTGAATGCTATTTACTCTATGACCTGTTTATAAATAAAATAAATAAAATAAATAAACAACATTTGATATAGCGCCCCATCTAGCTAACATAAGTCACTCTAAAGCGTTTTACAGTACATAGATATACAATTTTATACAGTCATTACAATAAGCATATATATATTAATCAATACAATATTGAGGAATTTGCAGGAGCTGCCTTATCAGGTGCTAACTACTAGTCCTATGCCACCTGGCTAATATCTCCCTATGTGTGTATAACTGTGCGTGTGCTGGAGATGTATATACATGTATCTCTCAATATTTCTTGAGAATGAGTTATATGAGTTATATGAGTTAAAATATATTGAAGAATGGACTATAGACTTCTGTTACACTCATTCCAAGAAGGTGCTGTTATGCTTCCTTAAAATACTAACGTTCCCATTAATTTGTAGGTCCCATTATTTATAATTACTGGTAAGTATTAAACACTTGTCTTCGCCTGCAGGTCCCATTATAGTTCATAGTTTTAATAAAAGTATGATAAATAAAATTCTGTTTACGGGTACCTTTATTCCCATTAATTATACTTACACTTTGGTTTGCCTGCGGGTATCAATCCACTCGGTGTCCGTCTCTTGGCTTTAGTACTGACTGTGGGTTTCTTCTTGGAAGACACTGTAGCAAGTTTCATAATAAAACAAATGCAATAAGTAAATTAAACTCATTACTTTTATTTTCACATTCTAGTACCACTTCTGCTTCAAGCAAGAAAATCCCAGGGTGTACAGCCATGAAGAACGTATTTGTGTTACCTTTTACAACATGGGAATGTTTTGCCCAGTCAAATATATTGCCCCTCACAATTAAAATCTATATTTGCCCAGTGTCATTTCTTCACTTCACCTATAGTTACTAGATGTGCTAAGCTGTGTGCTAATAGTTGCTGTTATGATAAATTTGCCCTCATTGGAGAGGGTGGAAATGGTGAAAATTAAACTGTAGCAAAATTTTCCAGGTAAAAAGTACTGTATTTGTAAATCAAGATAACATGAATTTACAATATTTTGATAGGCAAACAGGTTTCTTTTAGATGTTGATATCATTGTTATAGAAATTAATTTTGAGTAGGATCATCTAGAAATGTAACCGTTAGCTTAATTGTTTAATGACATTAGTTATTGTATTATCATAAAAATAATGTCAGGAGTAATATAAGGCAATACCATGATAAATCTTGAAATCGACACATTTTAAGATCTTATAATTATATATAAGAATTGTATTCCAAGAAAGTCCAATACCCTTTAAACAAACACATTTCATACCAGCACAATGTATAGGTGAAACACAAAATCACTTGAGGAAAATCCAATTATGAAGAATAATGAAGTGAAATTCTTACCTGACTCTTTTGGCTTAATAACACCTTTTTTCTGACCAGTCAAAACTTTTTTCTTGTAAACTGTTTCCTGTAGTACAATAATAGTTATCGTCAGAGGGGGTGCATTCTCATTTGTTGTTATTATCATTGTTTTGTACCTACTACCTAAGATAATAAAATCAAGTAAAGCAGAAATTAATTAAATTATCCCAGAAACAAAATTTATGATATATTTTTACAGCCAGGAAACATTCTATAAGTAGATCTATGTAAAATCTCAGAGGACAACACTTACTGTATCTTTGGCACTCTTTCTGTCCTTCTTTAGTTCATGCTTGGCCTCATATTTTAGTTCATCTAAGTCTTCCTGATATATCTTGTGTAGAAACTATGTGAAGGGAACAAATAACTTTACTAACATAGTTTAGTACACAACTCAAAATCTACCAGCCATTTTTGCTGGGAACAGAGTTAGCAGTTTGATCAAAGTTTCCCTTATAAAATATATATAGATATACCGAGATAAACATTGATTCAATACAGTATCTATGTACCCTATATCAACTTAATCCAAGTACACTTGACGACGTGTACTTTTGATAAGAAGCTTATAAACTGTAAAAGACAACCTTAAACATCAAAACGTTTACTATGAACATCCAAATTTTATATGAATACCACAAATGTTGTCACTGGTGTAAAAAAAATGTAAGAAACCAAGGTGTGGTACATGTAAGATTATCATTGAATGTAAAGACTACGTTTTTGAAAATGGTTAACTGTAATTCTAAGAATGTTATTTACTGTTTAATATGTAAACAATGTGGTGAACTTTATATCAGACAGACCGGATGTACATTGAGACTACCTAGAATGTACATAGACAACAAATGAAGGACAATGAACTAAGATTTTTAAAAGTGAGCAAACATATGCATCAATGTTCTAAAGATGGTTTTGTGTGTTTTATTCTATATTGTCCTTTGCAAGGAATTGTTTATTTATTATCTACTATATATATATATATGTATCCACTTTTTTTTAACAGATATAACTTGGACGTTGACTACAAGATGTGGAAATGAGTCTTACATCAACTTTTTTCTTGCCAGCCTGTCTCTCTTTCGCCATAAGTTTGTGTGTGTCCACTACACTGTAGGTGCCTTTTGACTTGTCTGGGACGCGGTCAGCTCGGACTCTCCGCTGATCTGACCGGGACTTGAACCGTTGAGGAAGAACTTCATCATCACTTAACACCTCATCTATAATCTCGTGGAACCTGTTTATAAATTTGACATATTAATCATGGTAATAATATTAAATCCTTTTATTGAATTTCTGAAAACAGAAGTATAAATTACACAAACTATAGGTATCAGACATGGAATTTTCCAAGCAAAATGATACTGTACATCTGAAAAATATCAGGCATTTTTTTTCTGCTTAAGTGTAAAAACTCACAAAAATTGCTTTCTCTGCAGCACTGGACTAATTTCATTTACAAACAGTTACACATATACATTGGATAGCTGACAAGCCACACTTACTGTTTCTTGAGGTAGTCATCATAAGCTGATGTGTTCTCCTTTTCCTCCAGATCATCAATGTTGGCGAGGTAGCTACCGTAGTCCTCAGTGACCCTACAAGGTCGAGTCACACTCCTGCCTCTTCCCATCTGTCTTGTGGGTGATGCATCAAATCGTTCATCTCTCTCCTGCCATGCTTTACGAGGTGGTGACTTACTAAGGAATCAAACATCCCAGAATGTAAAACAAACTGTCCTCTCCTCCAACAGTTTATGAGAATCATCACAGAATGTAATACAAAGTTCTCTCTCTTATTACACTTTACAAGGAGGGTAATAATAATTACCCGAGAGAAAACTCAAACAGACTGTAAAAAACCCCAAAAAAACACAAAAAGCTCTCTCCTTGACCTTCAAGCCATTGACTTAATGGGAAAACATAACATCAAAGAATATAATGCCAGGGTCATATGTAGCTTCAAGTGTAAGGTAAAAGTCTCATTGAGCTTAATCCATTTAGAGCTTTAAATGAAGTTCCTTGTCAGACATAATAACTAATTCAAAAACAAAACGGTTGACCAAAATTTAAGAATGTACAACTCACTGTGGACTAGATTTAAGGAAGCTAGGACTGGAATCTGTAGTGGATCGTTCTGTCAAAAATGAAACTTTCCGCTTGGCTCTGCTCGGCGTCAGCTAAAACGTAAAAAAATAACACCAGTTCATAATTAAGGTCCAGATAAACACTCTTTACAACTGTTAAATTAAGTGTAAAATCATCACATGTAATACAGACAAATAGGCTACTGCTGTAAACCTGCTATTTTTTCTCCCTTTTTAACTTTGTCTCTGTCACCCTTGTACAAGGGAGTGAACTCAGTATGGACTGAAAGTGGTCATAAAAGTAATGTAATTTTAATGCAATGTGACAGAATTCATCTCTGCTAGATATTTTAAAATGACAGAGGGCGAAAATTTGTAAGGGCAAAATTATAAAAGTTTTCAGAAATAAGGTACCCTGTCGACTTCATGAATGTTTAAAATATTCTCTCTAATCCCTTTGTTGGGATATATTTAGATAAATTTCTCTTGAGATACATTTTTCCTTTGCACAATGACAATTAAAGCGTAGAAGACAAATTTCTCAGCAATGATTTATCAATGATAAATGTAGTTGCTTAATGGGGCACATACCTCTGAGATGCAAGTAGTATTGATGACACCACCTAAGCATATATACTTATTGCTATGTTTTAATGGCATACAGTGTTGACCTTCATCTTATAGGATTGATAATATATATTTTAGCATATTTTACATAATTGGAAAAAAGTTGGGGCACTTATATGAAATAAGAAGGATATTTAAGTCATTATATGCTCAATCAGTCAAGTTGCTCAGTTGAGTTGTCAGCTATATCCAAAGATGGACACTTATTATGTACAATATCTAACAATGATGCAGTCTTGGTTATAACTATGATCAGCTGTACCTCCGTATCAGAATGAAGATCATCATCACTGCCTGTCAGCCGTACAGGACTCTTTGTTTTCCTGTGTGGACTTCTGGCTCCATGTCGCGTGGGACTGAAATGAGAGAAAAAATCTGTTATCAACATCAAAACAGTAAGTACAAGTAGTAGCCATATATTTATCATTTTGTATAGAAAAGTAGGAAGAGTTTTTCTTATGGAAAAGTAAAATAGATTTATAAAACTGTATAAACAGCCAAGGTCGTAAACTAAAATATGTTTCCTCCAGACAAGCTTTGATATGGCATCTCATGCTTATAATAAAGTAACATCTGTCTTTCTAGCAAATAATTTTCTCAGTAACAGCTACCTAAGTTGATATCAAGTTTCTATAATATTTAACGTACTTCTCTTCCTCAGGGTTTGCTACTGTAAATCTTTCATTCAATATTCGGTTATTTAGAGGGTCAAGTCTCATTCCACATCTGTTAATACTTTATATGATGGTAACATTCCTTACACAAAGTTGTTTTAATTATTGAGATTAAACGATCAGAATCCTTTTTTAACCTCTCTATGACAGCCAAGTGTCTTGCAGTATTGAATACCTACTTCTTTTGTTTACTGGAGCTGCTGTTTGTAACCTGTAGCTACTTTTCACAGTAGGATGGTGGCAGGGTGCTACCCTACATCACACACAGTAGGATGGTGGCAGGGTGCTACCTTATATCACACACAGTAGGATGGTGGCAGGGTGCTCCCCTACATCACACACAGTAGGATGGTGGCAGGGGGCTACCCCATATCACACACAGTAGGATGGTGGCAGGGTGCTCCCCTACATCACACACAGTAGGATGGTGGCAGGGTGCTACGCTAGATCACACACAGTAGGATGGTGGCAGGGTGCTACCCTGTATCACACACAGTAGGATGGTGGCAGGGTGCTACCCTATATCACAACTAATGGGAACCTAGCTACATAGCCTGTTTGCTGTAGCTACTGTTTATAATCTGTGGTTAGGTGTGACCCACTACTCCACTGATAAGTACCTACCTAGCCTGTTTGTTGTAGCTACTGTTTATAATCTGTGGTTAGGTGTGACCCAATACTCCACTGATAAGTACCTTCCTAGTCTGTTTGTTGTAGCTACTGTTTATAATCTGTAGGAGGGTGTGGTTAGGTGTGACCCACTACTCCACTGATAAGTACCTATCTAGCCTGTTTGTTGTAGCTACTGTACATAATCTGTAGGAGGGTATGGTTAGTGTGACCCACTACTCCACTGATAAGTACCTACCTAGCCTGTTTGTTGTAGCTACTGTACATCATCTGTAGGAGGGTGTGGTTAGGTGTGATCCACTACTCCACTGATAAGTACCTACTTAGCCTGTTTGTTGTAGCTACTGTACATCATCTGTAGGAGGGTGTGGTTAGGTGTGACCCACTACTCCACTGATAAGTACCTACCTAGCCTGTTTGTTGTAGCTGTTGTCCATGCTCTGTAGAATGGTACGTGCACGGTTGGGTGAGACCCCGACTGCGTCCCGTGCCAGGGCTGCGGTCTCCTCTACCATGTAACGTAGATTGTTGTAGGGATCTAACTGGTCAGCGGCAGGTTGTCTTTGAAAAAAAAAAATGAAAACATTCATGTCACAGTACTTATTATTGCAAGTTCAGAATTTATTTGTACCATCTTTCCTATTTGAATAAAGATTTTGACATCTTCAATCCCTCATCCATATATTTCCCTGTTGATATTGTACTTACCTGTAACCATACTGGTCCCTGTTGACGTTGTACTTACCTGTAACCATACTGGTCCCTGTTGATGTTGTACTTACCTGTAGCCATACTGGTCCCTGTTGATGTTGTACTTACCTGTAACCATACTGGTCCCTGTTGATGTTGTACCTACCTG